TTTTTTAAAAAATATTTATTTATTTATTTATTTGAGAGAGAGAGAGAGAGAAAGACCCAACATGGGGTGGGGCAGGGGGAGAAGCAGACTCCCCCCTGAGCAGGGAACCCGATGCAGGGCCCCATCCGAGGACCCTGGAATCATGACCTGAGCTGAAGGCAGACGCTTAAATGACTGAGCCACCAGGCACCCCTGATGTTAACATTTTAAAGTAATGCCACAATAAAGTCTTTCTTCTCAACATAGTTTTAGGGATTATCTAGAACATGAGGTGACATATTTGGAGGGAGGGAAATTACTTCTTGAACAAAGCTAGGGGACTTTCTACTCCACCTCTACATAAAACTGATGATGAAACCAACAGATCATTTGATAGATATTTTCACATGTGTTTATTAAAAATGCATGTCAGTGTCATTAAATGTCCATTGCATTATAACTATAGTTCGGCTACTCATGTTACACTATATGATAAACTCAGCACTTTAGGTCAATGTGATCAGTGTGTTCATAATGTGCTCAATAACGGAGTAACAAAATGTCTTTTTCTTAACAAATAATCAAATATTCTCATAGATAGCTTGATCTTAAGTGGAAAAAGTATTTGTTTTTATTTTATTGCTTTAAAAGCTAGCAGAATTATGCTAAAAAAATGTTTCTTTTGTTGGAGTAGAAACGCTCAGAACGTTGGTCTGAAACTCTTGGAGTGCTCCCCTAAGCTTACTGCTCCAGGGACTCAAAATAAAAGTAATATAAGTATATTGTTTGACCTAGCAGTTTGCCAAAGGAGAGAGAAAATCTTGAAAGCTCCTAAATACTTGTGATGGCTCTGGAGACTCTTCTGCTTTTATTGTTATGGGATGTAACAACATAGATTTTAAATTTGATCCAGATAACTCAGTAATTCACCATGAGTAAAATCAATCCCTTTTGTGGGACCTATCTTGGTTCAGTGATCTTGCTAATGAGAGCCTATAAAAATGGTGCAGATACTCTGGCCATTCCTAATACTATAGATTGATTTCAACATTACTTTAGGTATAGGATTAGAGTAGAGATGACTGGGGACATGAATGTTGGGTTTATCCATGACTCACTACTACTGCAGGCTTAAATCTTAGCTTATATAATGTTAATGTTTGATTTTACTGAATTACTTTTTACTACTTCAAAGTAGTTTTATAAAATTCAATCCCACATAAACTTGATTCAACCAGATTTAACAAACTTTGTAAGTAGTACAGGAGTACTAGACCTAAAATATTGTCAGAGGTATTTAGATTGTAAAATTTCTTTTCACACTTACAGAAATTTTTCTCTTATCTGGATAACTATTGGATTAATTCTGAATTAAAAGCAAAACACCTTGGGGCCCCTGAGTGGCTCAGTCAGTTGAGTGTCCAACTCTTGATTTCAGCTCAAGTCATAATCTCAGACTCGTGTGATTGAGCATCTTGTCAGGTTCTGTGTTCAGTAGAGAGACTACTTGAGATTCTCTCTCCCTCTGCCCTTCCCCTACACTTGCTCAACATACCTTCTTTCTCTAGAAAATAAATAAATCTTAAAAAAAAATAAAATTAGAGCAAAACACTTCAAAGGAGCCAAATCTGAAGATAATCTTACACTGCATGAAGCAAGTAAGAATAGAGATGGAGTTTAGTTAAAAAGAAGTGAAAAATATTGGGAAAGAAAAAAAAATTTAATTTTCTAAATTAACAATTCATAAACAAACTGCATGCCAATATCTTTTCCTACATTTTATGTCTTAGTCTTTATAATATCTATAGAAGATATGATTGTTTACACACTTATTTAACAAATATTGGTGGAACACTTATTTTATTCCAAGCACTGTTCGAGGTGCTGTGGATACATCAGTAAAGCAAGAGCGACACGGCCCCTGTTCTCACAGGGCTTACATATGAGACAGACACACACACACACACACACACGGTGATATGATTGGAAGTGTCACTTGAATTAGACTGGTATTTTTGGTTGGATGGACAGACCAAGTATCCTGGCAGCAACATACATTGAGGATATGAAGAGAAGGTGCTGAAGGAGGATACGAATCTCAAAGGTCCTAAGTCAGGAAAGACTTCTGTATGTTTAAGGAATAGAAAAAAGTGCAATATGGCTGGAGCAAAATCAGTGAGAGAGAATATCAGGGGAAGAACTAACCCAGAGGGTGATTTTAATATATAAATCAGAGCCCATCACTCTTACTCAAAAAGCTCTAAGAGCTTCTCATTACACGTAGAATAAAACCCCCAAACTTGTAAGGGGCTTCCAGGTTTTTACACAGATATGACTCCTGCCATCTATCTACCCACATGTCCTCTAGTTTACATCCCACTGGCAGCACTCCTCCTTGCTGACTGGTCAGTATGCTAAGCATCCCCAACCTCAGGATGCTTTTATTTGCTGTCCCCACTGCATGAAATTCTCTTTCTGTAGATATGTGCATCACCTCCCCATTTTTTTCATTCATTTCATTTTCATTCTCAGCTCAAATGTTACAATCTTAAAGAAGCTTTCTCTGAATATCCTTGTAAAATCTCACCTCCTCTTATCCCTTTCTTTTCCTTTACCCTGTTCTTGCAGTTCCTATGGATGCATAAATAATTACATCAAAACTTAGTTACTTAAAACAGCAAGAATAATTTATTATCTCTCATCATTTCTGTGGTCAGGAGTTTGAGAGTGGTTCAGCTGTGCATTTTTGGCTTGGGGTCTTTTATGAGGTTGTAGTCAGACCGTGGCCTGTGACAGAGGTCATCTCCCAGCCTTCATTCACAGATCTGTCACCTGGTCTGGGAAGACTCAAAGAACTGGAGACTAGAACAGCTAGGGCTCCTCGATCACCTTTCTTTTTCTCTACTGGGTCTCTGCAGCATGGTGGCTTAAGAGTAGTAAGAATTCATACATGTGGCTCAAGGATGGAAAGATCCAGGCAGAAGCCATATCATCATTTATGATCTAGCCTTGGAAAGTCAGGCAATGTTACTTCTGCTGCATTCTACTGGGGTTGAGACCATTGCAAAAGTTTACCCAGTTTCAAGGGAGAAGGGGGGATGTAGGCATTGCTTCTTGAAAGAGAAATGCTGGTACAATATTATAAGAACATGTTGGGATGGCATATGTGTAAATAATATATATATATTCTCCAATGCTTGGAAAATAAAATGTCACACTGCTTTCTTTATTCTTTCTCCAAAGCAGGTTCTATTCTGATTATTCCCTGTCTCCCTCACTAGAATATAAGCCCTATAATGGTAGGACTCTTGTCTTTCTCCTTTCCCGCTGGTCAATCTTCTTTACTATTCTAATCAATGATTAGCATAGAGTAGGCACTCAACATTTTCTGTTCTTGAATGAATAAACAATTCCTGAATCAACTACTTATGAAGCAATGGAAGTATCATGAAAATCATCATTTTAGAGATGGAAGAAAATTTTATAATATTCTATAAGTGGTCTCAGAAATCTACCAGGATCATGGAATATACTAAAATTATCTTAAAAGTGAGCTGGTTTTCACAATGTGTGCCTAAAAAGAAAAAGAAAAAAAACGTGTCTTCTAATATTTTGGAAAAACTATGACTCTTTTTATGACATTATATTAACTAAGTTCTCAGTGGCTTAAATTGTAAGAGATGAGGGGTGGCAAGCCTAGTTTGTAATCTGCTCTCACACAGAGATTTTAACTTTCCAAGTAGGCACATCAATCTTCCAGTCGCAGCTACACAAATGCAGTTAGTCGTTCAGCTCATAACCATATCCACGAAGGTGAGCTGTATGCTACAGAGGCTTTCACTCCCTGTTTTTGATTGCTTACTTTGTCATTTTCAATGGGCCTCCATTTTTGCTTCTTTTAAGGCGGACTGTTGACACACAGAGGCAAACTATTGCTTGGATTTTTACTGTCGCCGAGAGATAGTCTTTTGAAACTCATTCTCCGAAACGGTGAATGTCGTGGTTTGTGACACAAACGTGGGAATGAGCCTTGAAGTTGTCCTCTTAAAAATAAGCCTCAAGGGCTTAAGAATTCATTGCACCGACAGGCAAAATGGGTGATTTTTCATGCGAACTGGAAACAACCTAAACGCTCACAAAGAACAGCTGAGAAATTAATGACATACCAGCGAAGGTACAAGCACTTAGAAAGGTGTTGCAAAAGAGAGAAGGCAAAAAATAATTTTTCATAGCTAACAGGAATACCTAAAACTCCAAGACGATTAACTAAAAAATCAGAAATGATATAAAATTGCACAAGCTATCTGGATAGAACGTATTATGAAAACATCAATAGTTTTCATATAAACAGCTGTGAGGAGAAGACCCCAATGGTCAAGTAAAGAAGCATGATGCCAAAAGAACACAAAACACTTAGCATTGCTGACAAGATAGGAAGGAAAGGACTAAACTGAGAAATGATGCGGTAAAGAATTCAAGGAGCAAGACCCAAACCAGCTCCCCCGACATCTTGGGAGGCTGGCGGAATGGGTCTGCAAACTTTAAGTAACCAAGTTGTCCCCGGTGCAAAAGTACAGAACATCGTGGCTTCTGTTTGTCTAGAACTTACCAGAAGGCCATCTGTTCTTTGTTGCAGAGAGAAAATGTGTCACCCAAGGTGTGAAGGTGGCTTTTCAGTCACTTTTGTGGGATCCAGGGCAGCGCAGGATTTCGAGTCCCAGCAGGAACAACAAACTTGAGGCTTGTTTTGCTCTGGCTGACACCCTCGGGTTAAAAATTCTCCCCCAATCTGGGGGATCCTGGGGTGGCTCAGCGGTGGAGCGTCTGCCTTCGGCCCAGGGTGTGGTCCTGGAGACCAGGGATCGAGTCCCATGTCGGGCTCCCAGCATGGAGCCTGCTTCTCCCTCTGCCTGTGTCTCTGCCTCTCTCTCTCTCTCATGAATAAAAAAAAAAAAAAAAAAATTCTCCCCAAATCTGGCTCCAGGAAGAGAACCAAGAGTCCACCAAGGAAGTGGGTGTCAATGAGCAATGGAGTTCCCCTCCGGGGGCCTGAAGCGGGCCTCTCCAGGGAGGTGCCCAGAGAGCCGGGCGTGGCCTCCTGGCTTGGCCTGCGCTCCTCGACCTCCCCTGAGCCCCCCCCCCCCCCGCCAGGACGCTGCAGGGCATCTGCAGGAGGGAGGGATGCTTGCTTCCCGCCCCTGAGACCAAGGCCTCCCGGACACGCTTCAGGGACCGCGCCCCAAGCCGGCGGCGCTCGAGGCCACGGGAGACAGAGGGCGCCCCAGGCTCCTGGCGGCCCCGCCCCCCGCCTGGCCCGTACACCTGGGCCCAGCAGCTCCGTCCTGCAGTTGCGCCTTCCGGGTCCTGAGAACGCTGCCCAGATGGACGGCGAGGCCGGAGAGCGCCCCCAGGAGGCGCGTGAGGGTCCTGCTGCCCCGCCCCGGGTTGGGGGGGTTAAAACGCCAGCGACCACAGCCTCCCGGGCTCGCAGCGACTCGCAGGCTGCAGGAGCGGAGGGGAGACCCCAGAATGCCCCGGGCGCTGAGCAGCCCCGCGCAGGCGCAGTCCCTCCCCGCCTTGGGCCCCTGTGCGTATGCGTGGGGGGCGGGGGGCCCTTGCAGCGGTCCCTCCCACCCTCGGGCCCCTGCATGTGCGCGTGCGCGGTGGGGGGGCCTCCAGCAGCCCCTCTCGCCCTCGGGCCCCTGTGCGCGTGCGCAGTGTGTGGGGGGAGCGCCTGCAGCGGCCCCTCCCGCCCTCGGACCCCTACGTGTGCGTGTGCGCGTGCGCGGTGCGGGGGGGGGTGCCTGCAGCGGCCCCTCCCGCCCTCATCTCAGGAGCCGGGCCTGAGGCAGCGGGTCTCGGCGCCCGAGGTCCGCCCTGTCCCGAAGCGCCGTCCTCAGAGCCCCCGCCCCCCACGCGGGCGCGGAAACCAGCAGCACCCACGAAGCAGGTGCGCGGTGGTCGGGGAGCCCCCGCGGCCCGGCTGCTGGGACCCGATGCCTTCGGAGCTGCGGCGCTCCCGGCCTCGGGTCGGGCCCGTGCCCTTGGGCCGGGAGGTGCCTGGTGGCCCCGGTTCCCATCGTGGACGCGCCGCGGCACAACCAGAGGAGCCTGGCCCGGCCCTGGAAGGATCAGAAGGACAAGCTGTGGGTGAGGAGCAGGTATGAGAGCTCTCCGCAAAGAAGCTGCGGCTAGAGAAGGTCGGGGTGTGTGCGGGTGTGTGCGGGGTGGTGTGCGGGGTGGTGTGCGGGGTGGTGGCGGGTGATGTGCGGGTGGTGTGCGGGTGGTGTGCGGGGTGGTGTGCGGGTGGTGTGCGGGGTGGTGTGCGGGTGATGTGCGGGTGGTGTGCGGGTGTGTGCGGGGTGGTGGCGGGTGATGTGCGGGTGGTGTGCGGGTGGTGGAGGCGGGTGGTGGAGGCGGCTCAGGGCAAAGGCCAGCTTGCTGCAGGCCTGGACTACCAGGGAAGCTAAGTCTCTGACCTCCTCCAGTGGTGCCTGAGGGCTGCCCCAACGAAGAACCGGACGCCACGAGAAAGAACTGAAAAGGAAGCCAGAGATGGCGAGCCCGGAAGACTCACGTGGGAGAGACCCTGAAGCCGCCAAACGAGATCAGCCAGGTCTGGAGCAAGCCCAGGTGGAGGCCTCGGCCATCCACGTGAGCTCGAGGAAGGAGCGGATGTGGAGAAGACCGCTGAGCAGAAGACTACAGTAAAGGACGAGCGCATCGTCTTCAGGATCCATGACCTCATTTCCAAGATAGAAAAAAGTAAATGACAAGCTCATCGTCATCAGAATCCATGACCTCCTTTCCAAGATAGAGAAGATCTGACGTGGAAGTTCCTGACGAATGTCTGTCTCCCTTGTCTGTCTGTCTGACTATTCAAAGATCTCATGCTCTTTCTTGATTCTTCAACTTGTTTTTAAACTGGGTTGCTTTAAAAAGAAAACTACATAGTTTCCCTTTAGTCAATGAGGAAAAGAAGAAGAAGAAGAAGAAGAAGAAAGAGGAGGAAGAAAGAAGAGGAGGAAGGAGAGAAGAGGAATTATTTTATAGTACAGGCTTTGGAATGACACAAATGATTTAAATGTAGGTTTACATTCTGTGTCATGTACTAACTGGTAGCCTTAATCTCGCTGAGTTCAATTTTCTTATCTATAAAATGGTTGCAATAATTGAAATACTGATGTGAGATTAACCATGTATGCCTGGAAAAAGCACTTGAGAATAATATCTATTAAACAGAATTGAAAGTCCATCAAAATATTATTAGTAAAACTGTGGGACTTACGTAATAGACAGATGGAGCAATAAGAGCACAGATGCTTCAGGGACACATACTAGTATATATAAAAATATACTGGTTGATAAAGGCCACAATACAAATCCATGAGGGCAGAAGAAAAATTTCAATAAATAGTTCTGAACTCTGGGTGAAATCTTTGGAAAGAATATAGTTAGATGTGTAGTTTTCACATGAACAGATAAATTCCAAAAAAGTTACAGCACTAAAGAAAATGAAACTTTTATTTCATTTTATTTATGATTTTATTCTATACCAATTAGAATAAAATCAAAGTCAGGAAATACTGGATATTGACATAGAGAATAAACTTCAAAGGCAAAAATGCAATAGCAGAATCACAGAGAAGAGGTGGACAGATTTGACTATATGGAAAATTAGATCTTGGGAGTGCCAGGGTGGCTCAGTTGATGGAGCATCCAACTCTTGATCTCTGGGTTGTGAGTTCGAACACACAGTGTAGAGGTTACTTAAAAAAAGTTTTTTTTAATCTTAAAAAAAGTTAGGTCTAAATGACACCAAAAAAAGTAACGAAGTATTTCTATCACTTACGATAGGCCAAAGGTTAGTACAAATATCTAAAGAACATTTACAAATCAGTAATAAAAATGTAAACCCTATTAGAGAAAAGTGAACAAAAGGTGGAGCAAGATATTAAGCGGTACAAAGATCCCCCGAAAATTAATACAAGAAATCTCAATAACAAACTTAAATTCACTTTTTTTTTTTTACCTATCATATTGGTAACTAATTTTAAAGAAAAATACATAAGATACATTATTAGTGTTCCCTGAGTTTAGAACATTCATGTATTGCAGAAAGAGAATAAATTGGAGCAAATGTTAAGGAAATTATACTAGATTTATAATTCTTTTTTTTTTTAATTTTTATTTATTTATGATAGTCACAGAGAGAGAGAGAGAGAGGCAGAGACACAGGCAGAGGGAGAAGCAGGCTCCATGCACCGGGAGCCCGACGTGGGATTCGATCCCGGGTCTCCAGGATCGCGCCCTGGGCCAAAAGCAGGCGCCAAACCGCTGCGCCACCCAGGGATCCCATAGATTTATAATTCTTGACACAATATTTCTCCTATATAAATTTGTTCATAAAAACTAGAGATGCAGAAATCACTTATGTGCAAAAATATATTTATTAGAGGATTATTTACCATAAAGGAAAATTGGAAAAAATAGGGATGGATAAATAATGGCACAATCAAATGATAGTATACTACGCAGTAGCTAGATGAACAATTTTGAAGTTAAGGGAATGGGAAAATGTTCATAGTAAAATTTTAAAAGGATGAAGGAATATGCAATTTTACAAACCTCTGCAGGTTTTTAGTGGATGTTTTCTCTCAGGGAAAATAGGTAACTTCCATTTTTTACTTTGCATTTTGCAGTATTATTTCAAATTCTCTATAATAATTATATATATCTTAATATTCAGGAAATGTGCAAAATGCTGCTCTTCACATTGTATTAAGTACGCCAAACTATAAAATGCATATGCAGATGGTCTCAACTATATAAATACAAGTGTTTATTTTTAAATCACTTTAAAGTTTTTTGGAAAAGCCTGAGGAAAAGGGGTTTTATGTTGATTTGGCAAGCAGTGGACAACCCAAGCAAGTTCACGGGCAGGGCACCATGTGATCAGAGCAGCAGTTAGGAGGAATCGCCTAGGAGGGTGCTAACAGCTGGTGCGGAAAGGTGACTCAGATCAGGCTGTGGTAGACAGAAGGACAAGAAGGGGTTGATACTGAGCTACAACCGGGAGCAGAACTGAAAGTACTTGGAGCCTTGGAGTGGGACTTGAAGGACAAACAGGAGCCAAGAACTTAAAAAAGGCATACAATTATTGTAAAAAAATTTGAAACGATAAAGGAAAATATCAGATAAAGCAAGATAAAAATAAAAGTGCCAGTTTATAGAAACAAGGAAATTTGGAGGAGAAGCTGGTTTGAAAAAGATAAGTGAATTTTTAAACCTCTGAGAAGTTTGTGGCTAGTAAGAGGATATCAAAGACGTATTTAAATATCTCCCTTAATTTTTATTATGTAAATATAAACAGTAAAAAAAAATCAAACAGGAGAGAAAGAACACATTAATATCAAATCTACTGAATTTCCTACAATTACCCACAGGCCTACTCTTCGCCATAACTGCTTTCAATTATTTTCATTTTTATTTCCTCTGGTGATCAATTTCATACTCAGACCTCAATATCTTATCTATCACCACCAAACATCCCTTGATCAATGTCTCCATACTCTGAAAGATGAGGAACTTCTCTGTTCCTAATTTTTTAAAGATAAATTATTATTTTGGCATTCCTTTGGTAACTGTTGTAACAAATTACACTTCTGTAAGAAGTTTAGGCTTAAACTTTTTATATCTTGATCAATCAACTTCAAACAGTATATCATTGAATTCCCCACAATATAAACGGAGAATACCAGTGATTATAAACTTCCTTCCACCTCTTATCCCCCCGTTTTTCTCCCAATATCTGGCAGCTATATAATCACTTTTATTAAAAAGTTCAGGACATTTGTATTTTTTTCTGTAACTATAATAAAATAACTCATGTTATATCTCGTGGTTGAATTCTAAAAACTGAAAACATATATACACAGCATTTGATATTATGTAAATACTATTGATGTAGAAAATACTGCTTATCTGGGGACCTGCCTGAGAAAGAAATGGAATTCTTTTTTTTTTCTGTGCTTTTTAAACAACTTTATTGAGTGTGATTTATACACTACACAATTCATCCCTTTTAAGTAGACAATTCCAAGGTTTTTAGCAAACTTACCAAGTGGTGCAATCTTCACCATAATCCAGCTTTAGAACATTTCATCACTCCAATAAAATACCTCATGTCCATTTACAGTCAATTCCCTTTCCTACCCCCAGCCCCAGGTAGCCACTAATTTACTTTCTGATTCTATAGATTTGCCTGTTCTGGTTTCTTCTACTCAGGAAAACAGTTTTAAGATTTATATATGTTGTAGCATTGTGTCAGTATTTCATGCCTCTTTACTGTAGATGGGGTTCCAAAGTTTTGATTTACATCTTGTTCGTCATTCATCAGTTGATGGACATTTGAATTGTTTTCACTTTTTGGCTATTATAGATAATTCTGCTATGGACATTTGTGTGCAAATCTTTGTGTGGACTTATGCTTTTTATTTCTCTTGGGTAGATACCTAGGAAATTTAATTCTGTATTTTCCTAACCAGTCTACTCAAAGAAAAATGTCCCAATTATCAAGAACATCTGGAATTTATTTTTCTTATATGTCATCAATTACTTTAAATCATTCCATATTTTAGTTTGGTTTGCAATCTTACCACGGCTTTTATGCTTATATTTTTCCCTCTAGAGATTTAAAACAATTTTTAAATTATGTATTTCATAAATACTAAAAGGTATAAAGGTATTATCTGTCAAACTATATATTCATATCCTATTTAAGAAATAAAACACTTGTAAGTGCTCCTGGGTGGCTCAGTCGGTTAAATGTCTGCCTTCAGCTCAGGTCACGATCTCGGGGTCCTGGGATTGGGCCCACATTGGATTCCCTGCTCAGAAAGGAGTCTGTTTCTCCCTCCCTCTCCCTCTGTCCCTTCCAGCCCCCTGCTTTTGTGTTCACTCCACTCTCTGTCTCTCTCTTTCTCGAATAAAGAAATTTAAAAAAATCTTTAAAAAAAAGAAAATGCTTCTAAAACAGTTGAAGAGGCTTATATGGAGTTCACTTCGAAGCATCCTCCTCTCTCTTTCCAGAGATTACCATTATCTAGAGTTTAGTGTTTATCATTCCTATGCATTTCTTTAAACATTTACTAATTATATATGTATT